TTTACATACTCTGGTCATCATCGAGACGTGGCTTAATAATGGTATTGCAGACGGTGAAATATCTCTCCCAGGATATAAGATTTTCAGAAGCGATCGGCCTAAGGGTAAAGGTGGTGGGATTGCAGTGTACGTCAAAGAATCTCTCTCCATAATTCGGAGGGTTGATCTGGAACAACCGTTTCCTGGAAAATGCATTTTGCTGGAGATTCTTCTGCCCAAAGCTAAAGGAATATTGTTTGGAACCTTCTATCGACCCCCCTTTCAGACAGACTTCATGAATTCGTTTAGGGATGTTCTCGAGTCAGCTAGTGCAGAAAACAAGGTACTCATTGTGACGGGTGATTTTAATTGTGATTTTTTAGTGAAATCATGTTCAAAGGAAACTAAAGAACTGAGGGAAATTTTTAGGAACTTTGGCCTAACGCAGCTGATTGACAAAGCCACAAGAACTGCCAAAGAAAGCTCCACTTTGCTAGATTTGTTTGCTTCCAACTCTCCCAGAAATATAACATTCACTAATGTTGTTGCATCTAGCCTTAGTGATCACGACATGTTGATCGCAGTGAGGAAAATTAATGCATGCAAACTACCACCAAGGACAATTGAATACAGGAATTATGCAAAGTACAATCCCTCGGCTTTCTGTGATGATCTAAGAGATATCCCGTGGGATGATGTTCTGAAAGAAAGAAATGTAAACACTGCCTGGAGCAACTAGAAAGAGCTGTTTTTGAACGTTTGTGATCGACACGCACCTACGATATGCAAGAAGGTCTGGGGCTGAGGTGGACTGGAATGCCTACCGGCGACTACCAAATCAACTGTCAAATAAAATCAGGAATGAAAAACGTCACTATTATAGGAATGAAATTCAGGAAAATCTTGATAGCCCCAAAGCCTTTTGGAAAGCAATTAAGAAAGTTTTTCCAAGCAAGAAAGGCAAGTCAGCGTGTCCAGAATCTATCCAGACCAAGGAGGGACATACAATTCTGATAAGTCAACTATTGCCGAGAGGTTTAATAATTTCGTTACAAACGCCGTCTCTAGGCTTTTGGAAACCGTTCAAAACCCTGTAGGCACTCGCGAGTTTTGCAGTGACAACTTTACGGATCAGAAACTACCAGTAACGGAAAGTTTTGTATTTAAACAATTCAAAGGCTTAAAGGTGAAGAAAGCTACGCGCTTGGATAGAATCCCTGCGTGCTTGCTGAAAGACAGTGCTGCTGTTATCACCCAGTCAATCACTTTCCTTGTAAATCTCTCTTTGACCACAGGCATTGTACCAGATGAGTGGAAGCAGGCAAGAGTTGTTCCTCTGCACAAATCAGGTGCACGGGAAGTTATGGACAATTAACGGCCAATCTCGATCCTACCAGTAATTTCAAAAATTGCTGCAAAAGCCGTAAATGTTTAACTTCAACAGTACTTAAATCAACATGGCCTATTAAATTCTTTTCAATCAGGGATTAGACGACACCATTCGACGCAGACAGCGATAACATACTTCTGTGACACAATTAGAAGAAGAACAGATGCGGGAAAACTAACCAGGGCCTTATTTATCGATCTAAAAAAGGCCTTTGATACCGTCACCCCTGATGACCTCATTTGCAAGCTTAAAAGATTTGGTTTGGAGGAAAACTCTCTCGCGTGGTTGATGAGCTACCTTACTAACAGAACTCAGGCTGTTTGTGTCGAAGATGAACTATCCAGTCCAATGCCTGTCCTTAGTGGCGCACGGCAAGGCAGCATCCTTGGACCTGTACTGTTCACCCTTTATATAAACGACCTACCGTCCTGTATTCAATTCTCCAACATCATGATGTAGGCGGATGACACAGTGATCTATCTGTCGTCCACATGCACCTCAGACATTAAACTTAAGTTGAACCTTGATCTAGCTAATTTATCGCAGTGGCTTCACTACAATAAACTTGTTCTCAACATGAAGAAGACGGAATTCATGACGTTCGGCACCCGCCAACGACTCGCGAGACAAAAGTGTGATGAAACTGATATAAGCCTAAATGGACGGTTCATTAAGCATACGGACACGATTAAGTACCTGGGTGTCGTTCCTGATGACACCCTTTCCTTCAATGACCACTTGGACTATGTGAGGATGAACGTATCCAAGATACTCGGAATGTTCTCTAGAATAAGACCTTCACTTACGCCAGAAGCTGCAAATAGACTCTATAAAGCCATGGTCCTCCCGGTTCTAGATTTTTGTGATGCTGTGTGGCATGAATGTGGACAAGGAAACAGTGACAAGATTGAACGACTACAAAGATGAACAGCGAGGATCGTCTACTTCAAAGCTGCCTCAAAACTATCAACTGATCAAATTATGACTAAACTGGGCTTGGAACCTCTCTATTATAGAAGACGGACACACATTTTAACATTTGTTAATGAGTGTATTGCAAATAGAGTTCCCAGATACCTTTTAATTATTTCAATGTACGAAACCGTGACATTCACTGCCACAAAACTGGAAATAATAACCACCTTATTTTAGAAAAAGTTAACTAAGAATGCACCAAGCGCGCTTTTTTCTACAAAGGTGGAAAAATTTTTAATAATTCTTAGAATTTATAACTGTTCGAATCTTCCGTTTAGTGTAATTATTTTATAATATTCTAATTTGATCTTTATCCATATTTTTAATCATTTTTTATTTTATTTTATTTTTTATTTTTATTTTTTAATTTAATTCTTTACAGGACCTGCATTGATAGCAGTTTTTTCTTAAAACTGATGCAGCAATCCTGTATAAGTATGTTTAAATTATTATTATTATTATTATTACTATTATTATTATTAATCAACGTTAAGAAAACAAAACTAAGGATTTTCAGACCAAGGCGAAAAACGTTACCTATCACAAGGCAGATTATTATAGAAAATAATGTACTTGAACAAGTAGATAATACTAAGTTCCTAGGAGTTTATATTGATCAGCACCTTACGTGGAAAACTCATGTTCATTTTATTGCGGCCAAGATTTCTAAATCTGTCGGGTTACTTTATAAAGCTAAATACATTTGCCCACAAAATCTCTTCTTACACTATACTATGTGCTTATTAAACCCGTATCTTACTTACTAAAATTTAATATGGGCCTCTACTAATGTCACCAACCTGCAACGAATTTACCTACTACAGAAAAGAGCAGTCCGGGCGATCTCTGAGGCTGACTACAAGGTTTCAAGTAAACCTCTTTTTACAAATTTGAAAATTCTTGATGTTTTGAGTATCTACTCGCTCCAAGTAAGTTTTTCATGTACCTATATCATAATGACGCTTTACCTATTGCTTTTACTCAAATCTTTCAAACTGGAAATCATATTCATCAATACTCAACAAAATACTCTGACTTTTACCGACCTCATACCTGTAAAACAAATATTACAAAATTTTTGATCCTGTTTCAAGGTCCTAGAATATGGAATTCATTACCGAACAACATCAAAAACGCCCCGCTTTTAATATATTCAAGCGTGTGATCAAACCATTTTTAAAGGTCAGACAAGATACAACCTAAATACCTTACACCTTACACCGCCAAATTAGGGCAAATGTCTTGAAGCAGCATCCACACTAAAACATGGACCTGTCAACAGCTGCATCACCGTACTCATGAAGATATTTCAATGTTATACTTCTAAACACCTCAAGCCTTAATAAAAGACGTAAAATTGTGAAGAATTAAGATGGCGGTCTCTAAGTGCCCTTGTTTGACCTTAAGCAATGTCATTAACGGTTAGATGCCAAAGTCCCATTGGTTGCTACGTATCAACTCATAGTACCTTCAACCTTATTCGCCCCTGCAACAAAAATCCGAACATACAAAGCCACAAAGATACATACGCTCAAACCACTGACATATGAGATATTTTTTCAAAATACCTCAAAAAGGTGAGAAAACTGAAATAGGAAACTGGCGAGTATAGTGCACATACATCCAGAGACACAAAGACAGTACATATATATTAGGTTTGGTTTAATTTACCGTTGCATCTGTAGAAGTATGCATGTTGGCAAGAGACTGCTCTACGTTTACTCATTGTTTTTCTGGTTGAAGAGACTTAACTCACGCTGTTTTCAAAAATAAAAAATCAACAGTTTTAAATACTGGAGGGAAAAAACTGCAGCGGTCCCATTGATGAGTCTAAGCTGAGAGTTACTCAATATAAAATTGTTGTAATTTAAGTTGTGCAAAGTACAGTATGTACACTGTATATCAAAGGCCCTGTAGAATACAACCACGGTTTTCTTACAAACTGAAAAACATACCTTTTTCTTGCTTTGCTTTCGCTGCTGGATCCGCCAAACTTGCCATAATTTTCCTTTGACTTTCCGTTAAATGATCAGTCATGTGCTTTAGTATCTCTGTTTGTTATCAGAATCAAAAATCTGTTGATCAGTCACAGGGGAATCACAGGTAGAATTCTTGTAAAAGCTTATCTAGAAAGTGTTGACAAGAAGAGCTCAAGGGTACAAGAGTTTCTTACTATGGCTATTACTAAAATCTGTTGATCAGTCACAGGGGAATCACAGGTAGAATTCTTGTAAAAGCTTATCTAGAAAGTGTTGACAAGAAGAGCTCAAGGGTACAAGAGTTTCTTACTATGGCTGTGGTCACATGCTCCTTCAGAGGTAGGCAGGGAGTAGAGTTACAAAATACTGAACACTACCACCACCACTCTTTAGTGTTTTTTTCTTGGAGGAGGGTCTAGGGTAGCCTAAACTTCAGATGAAGCTAGCTCGAAGGGACAGCTGAATTTCAGGCTTGGTCTTGGGGTTTTTGCCAATATCATTACAGCGTACTAAATAGGGAATGTATTAATTGCGGGTCTAAACTCTTCCTTAGCATATATTCTCTCAACTGAAACGATTCATGCCTTACACCTTGCCTAGTCCCTGTATGGCATTTTAGCATTTCCTTATGCATAACAACATTACAAGTTTACTGTTATTTCTTCAATCCACAATAATTATTGACTTTTCAAGATACCTTCAGTCTCATCAAATCTGTCTTTGTTGCTATCATCTTCTTTCTTCCATTCCCTCAGTAATTCTTGGTAGTGTTTCTCAGTGACAGGATCCAGTCTCTCAGTCTTCAGTTTATTGATAGCAGCAGCATCTGCACCAAGTCCTACCAATGCATTACTTATATCCTGCCAATAGGTATTAAATGCTACATCATCCACAGACTCCTGGATGGCATGTCCGTAGACATGATTCCTGTAATACTTTACCCTAGCTATGTTGGCTTCATCACTCGTATCTGCAGCAGGTGGGAGATTATCCCAACCACTGGTCGGAGGAGTCAAGCCACATATATTCCTTAAGAGCAATATCAGCAGTGTGACATCAAAATCTTTTGAAGATACGGATGAAGGTGAAGGGGGATACAGCTTGGCCCATTGAGTGGGATTAAGAATTTTTCTCCTTCTCAGTGTCTGCAGTACTGGGTGTGCAGGAGGCTTTGTAAGAATTCCATGTAGGCCCGCTGGTGGGTGAATACTATCAAACTTGTTTCTTAATGCCTGGGATCCTACATCCACAAGAAGACGACACAGGTGAGCATAATTTGTCGTCTCCTTGGTGGATGCATATGAAGTTGTGCTGGAGGTCATGTTGATTATTTTGTTAGCTGTAAATTAACAAATAAAAAATATTCATTTGGCAACCACGATGTAGCCCAGTGGGTACTCCTGAGAGATCTTGGTGGGGTGTGCCACCCAGTTCCCCAAATTCTGACCCTATTTCAGACCAAAAAAATGTCATTCACCACACCTGTTTTCAAACCTGGCCTCTAAAATCCATACCCATTTCCAGACCTGGAGTAGGTCACAAAATGCAACATACAGGTTCACAAAGGTAGAAATTATACACAATCATTACTTAGATTAGAAGGCCAACAAAAAGATTTCTTAAAATTCATTTCAAATTTGCATATTACAGTACTTTTTCTTTCTGATTCATTTGGAATTGAAACGACAAATACGTTGATTGCTCTTGTAGTTCCCTCAAAAACATTGTTTCCAGACCAAAATGGGCGAAGTCTATACCTGTTTTCAGACCGAAACACCACAAAAACCAGACCCTTTTGGGCGGCACATACCTATCTGATTTATATAAAGGAGTACCCCCTTGGAATATAGTCAAGTGACAAATTGTTTCACTATAATAACTAGCATTTAACATAACACTGTTTTCTGAGTTAAATCAGGGCTGGGATGGATGTATCAAAGAAAAAAAAGTAACTGCATTGCTGTGACTGTTTTAACCCAAGAAGCAGCTTGTGATAAAGGAAGAGGGCATCCGTATCTTCCTTGTTGTACTCAATCACACAAATCAATTCACTGTTCAACAAGCACGCTACAATCTTTAGTTTGACACAGCACCTCACACACTTGTCTAAAAAGGACACCTTTATCAACAATTTCACCCATTTATCATACAATTCTGTTTAAACATCATTACCCCCCACCCCCAAATCAATGTAACTTGTGGTTAAAGAAAGACTTTAGGGTTTAAAGTACAACCAGGAGTCTGTTCCCAATACTACATTGATTTGGAGGATGGGGTGGGGGTAGACACGGAGAGGGATTTGCCTATTCTACGCAATAAAGGGGCTACTCAATGGACTCATCTCAACACTTTTGTCCCTTATTGTATATTTCTCAAAATCGGAAACACATATCTTTTCAAGCAATCTCCATGTTATCATTTTGAAATGAGTGACCCAAGGGTTAGGCCATTTGATAATAATAGTTAGTCATATCACATGGTGGGAAGTCAATGATCCTGCTTGTACAACGTCTTTAGGCAAGTTATTCCATACATTAATGACAGCTTTTGTAGTCAAAATTAATAGGTTGATGAAGGAAATTCATTTTAGTGCGGCGTAAGTTGAAAATAGCTGTAATTTTGCCCGGTACATGTTTAGAGCAAAAGAGAATGTCATGGTGAAGACAGCACAAGATGAAGTGACAAAATTAAGATCATCACAGAACGCTCTTTTTAGAGCTCCGCTTGTTCAATGTGCAAACATTAGTTAATATAGTTTCCTTGTATTTCTTATTTACATCAGAAGATAGCTCGGCTGCGAATGGCTAGTGACTCATATTATTTGAAAAAGTATGTAAAGAAGGAATCCTATCTTTATTTTGCAACAGTATGAGGATTTAAATGAAGATTAATTAATATTATTGTAAATATTTTCAACTAGGATTTGAAAATTGTTTTAGAATCGTTAATGTGTGGAATACCTTGCCTAAAGACGTTGTACACACAGGATCATTGACTTTACTTCGCAACAGCATGATGATTTATATGAATAATAGGGTCTTGACAAACTGCGAGCCAGTGAGCCAGCGAGTCATGCGAGTCATCATGTGAGCCATGCAAGACAGATGTTAGTTCCCAGTCCACTTTCCTTTCTTCGGGCTTTTGGCGGCTTTTGGCTATTTGACACGAGTTTTCGCTATCCTTGCTCTGCTTTCAATATTGTTTTGTTATCTGCCTTCATCTTTTTCACCTTTTGTTAAGGTAAGCTTTGTTTTGTTTTGTTGTCATTAAATTTTGAGATTTGATGTTTTATTTATGAGTGTAGTCGCAAACGATTAACTCGCATGGCTCGCATGTTGACTCGCATGACTCACTGGCTCGCTGGCTCGCATATTATACATACTCCGAATAATATATAGATTTAGCCAGGGCTAAAAGCAAAGCTCTTGTTAATATCTATAGTTTACTCGAACAAAATAAAAAATCGTTTAATGCTAAGCTGCAACAGCAACAAAAACAGCCAAAAAAAACATTTGGTCTAATTAACAATCAACAGTCGACAGTTATTTCTACAGTTACTTCTTTTTTGGACAGATAGCCCCAGCTGTTTGAACAGATAACAATTTTTTCGAACTGATAGCCCGAGCTGTTCGAACCGATAAGATTTTTTTTCCCGAACGGATAGCCCAAGCCGTTCGAATGGATGACAATGTTTTTGGAACGGATAGCCCGAGCCAATTATACTCTCTGATGGAATTTTAGTTTTCTACCAGGTTACAATCATACTAGCGGACTGACTAACGAATCGATACGACTTACACTCAAATGGCAGGAGGGGAGCAGAGGCCAACCGATTGACTAATGCCACTAACGGTTCTGACTAACACTCTAACAGATTGACCAAGGCGACTAATGGTTTCATTAATTTTTCTAATGGATGACTAACGGATAGCTAATGTTTTTGGCCATTTAACAGAAGATCGTTAGTATACGTTCTTGTGTGAGAGGTCACATTTTTGGTTAACACAGGAAAAAATTGTGAGATTCCAACATGGATTATTATTTGAAAACACCTGAAATAAACTATCCAATATTGGAATAATATTGGAATACTTGGCAATCTGTAAAGAGCACAAATATTTTTTGGAATATCATTGGTATATCAGTCATTTAACAATCCAAGATGGTATTTGGATGGTAGTTTATTGGAGTATTATGTTTCAGAAGTAACAATCGGATAACATACCATGGAACTAAACTTGGATTGTTAAGTGACAAATAAACCAGTTATTTCCCAATATTACTCTGAGTTAGTTTTTATGGTAGTTTATTGGGAGATCCATTCTCTGACATGATAATCCAATAAAAATCATAAAACCTGGATTATTATGTGACTGTTAAACCAGCCATTTACCATTACAACTCCATGATTGTTTTCTTTCTGAATGTAAGTGTCCCCTTGCGGTCATACGCCAAGTTGCCCGGCCATTGCATTCGTCACATGGACAGTGTACATGTTGTTTTCCTCCCTTCTTGCTAATATCTCTAGCTTCAGTGGTTAGACGACAATGACAGGAAGTAAGTGAAACAGAAACGTCCTCCTCCACTTCCATATTACATTTTTCCCGGGCACACAATGTGAAAAACCGATCGACAAGAAAGAAAAGAATCGCAACATATGGATACCGCCATATTGACTCTTCAGGTCGCGCAAGGTCTGGTAAGTATAACTGAAAGTGGATCGCGGGATCTGAGAATGAGAAAGTAAATGCACAATGTGAAAAACCGATCGACAGGAAAGAAAAGAATCACGACATATCGATACCACCATGTTGACTCTTCAGGTCGCACGGGGACTGGTAAGTATAATTGAAAGTGGATCCCAGAATCTGAGAGTGAGAAAGTAAACACGCCAAAACGCAGAAGTCGTTGTTGGATTCGTCGGATCACAGGCAGCAAGCTCGAAGATCTACCTCAGGTTTTGGAGGTTATTTTCTTTTCTCATGGCTGAAAATAGCAAGGCAGTGTCTTCAAAAAAACCAGGTAGAGATATTTTGTAAATTCTAGTAATTGGCAGTTGAGTAAGTCTTACTTATTCAACTTTTTTGGTGTGTCTTGTAAAACATAAGCTTAATTTTGGTGCCATTAACTTAACTTAGGCTTAAAACTTCCTTTTAGGTTGTTGCAAATGTAATATTACGGAAGCCATTATTTCCAGAGTTAGTGGATTCTAAGTTTAATGAAAGTTAACCTTTGTGGTTAGATACAGAAACTAAAAATGAGATCCTTAGAAACCAGTGGAAATTTGAAGACTGAAGTTTGTGTCGACTGAGCCACACATAACTGCAGCTCCGCAGTGACAGTGGCCACATGCCATTTTGGATTCACCCTTTGGTAAAAAAAAACGTTCTCATTCCCCTCTGCTCACTTCCAGATAACTATTCACTGACTTTTACTTTGCCCTTTTCATGAACAATCAGTGGAATGGAGAGCTGAACTAGCATCGTGGCTAAACAGTCAGCATCCAGATTTGAAGGATGAAGCAAGAGTTCTTTAGGGTAAATTATCAGCTTATATATTTCAATTGCGTAGTTTTAATCGATTTTTTTGTTTTTCTTTTTGGTTTCTTCGTTTGCTATTTGTTTGTTATAAGGAATGAAAGGAAAAGAGGGAGGTGAATCCAAGTTGAGAGCGGCAAAAGAAAGGCTAATTTTCTGCTCAGTGTTTTCCCTCACACACTATTCTGATTCCTTCCAGAGTGACCGATACTTTATTATTATTATTATTATTATTATTATTATTATTATTATTATTATCATTATCAGAAGTTTTCAAAGAGCAAGAAGAAGAGAACAAGCGCAAGTACCAGCAGCCGGTGTTAGATGTCGAAATGGGTTTGTTTACGCCTTTAGTGTTTGGAACCAATGGCGGAATGGGAAACGAGTGTCAGCGGTTCTTAAAGCATCTCGCAGACAAGATAGCTCAGAAAGACAACGAGCCTTATCATGTTGTAATCACTTGGCTCAGGACACAGATCTCGTTTGAACTCTTAAGATCGGTACATGCATGCGTCAGAGGTTCGCGAACGCCGTTTCGTAGCAAGCTAGAGCAATCATTAGACTGTAAAATAAATGTCGCTAGTGCGGATATCTGAAATACGTGTCTATATGCTTTTATACTTAGGGCTTTTTATGGACACTGGTTTAGCCGTCATTAGTATAATTCGATTGCAGGATCTTAATATCTCTGCATAATGGAATTCTTAATTTTATAGAATTTTGAACTTTTATTATTAATTATATCTATTTCCTCTTCTTTTATGTAAGGTTAAGTTACTTCTATTTTTTAGAATTTGTAAATGAATAGTTTTTTCTATCTTCACTTATAATATATAGGATTGTTTTTGTTCTCTAATGAAGGACGAGGGGTTTCTTTTGTAACAGATGGAATTGTAGATAGCGTTTTTGATGAATTAATTAGATTTTTTGTAACAGCAGGTTGATTGTAAATAGGATTTTAATTGAGGTTTTGTAATAAAGATTCTTTTATTATTATTATTATCATTATTATTATTATTATTATTAATATACAATCGCTTTAAATTGTTATCTTTTCATAGCTTATTATAATGATTTCCTTTTAGAAAATGAAATATCTTGTTAAACACTGGCTCTTGAAGATAGACAGTGTCTCAAGGACATTGGCATAGGATCAATTTGGAAAACAACTCGCTGTCTTGGCATGGATCA